CCCCATCCAAAGCAACAAGTTTGCCTCCCCAGCAGCTTAATATGTCTCAAGGGCATGGTTTGTTTTTAATGCCCTCCAACCTAAGGCTGCAAGCATGATTTTCTGACTTTGTCCTCACAACAGTCCTGCGAGGTAGACCGGCTTGAGAGAAGAGAAAATGGAGAAATGCGGAGACGGGGCAGAAAATAGACGGTGGGTTGGGGGTCCATTTCTAAGGCTTTCATAGGGTTTGGGAAAGGTTTCTGAGATTTTATGTAAGTATGATGTAGGATGGTGGAGGTTTAATTAGTCCAGTTAATTAAATAATGGACTGCATGCACACACTTTTCTGGATGCACAACACATCAACCGTAAACTAATCACAATCTGGAGTTGGTATACTCAACTTAAAACAGTCCATTTAGTGACTGAAGTTACAACGGCACTGAAAAAAGGGACTTGAGACCATTTTTCAAACTTAACGACCTTTGCAGCATCCCCCGAGTCACGTGATCAAAATTCAGATGCTTGGAAACTGGCATGTACCTATGATGGTTGCAGCGTCCCTGGGGTCACGTGATCCCCTTTTGCGACGTCTGACCAGCAAACTCAATGGGAGAAGCCAGATTCACTAGATTTTTAGATTAGATAACCTTTATTGTCGTTTTTTTTTCCTGTGGGCACAATGGCACACATAAAAAATGAAATTTAGTTGCCTCCTGTCCAAGTGTACACATACACAACACACATTTAAAGCATACTCTATACAAAATGTGTATAGACCTACACCAGGGGTAGGCAACCGTGGCTCTTTTATGACTCGTGGACTTCAACTCCCAGAATTCCTGAGCCAGCATGGGGGAACTATGGCCCCCTCATGACTAGTGGACTTCAACTCCCAGAATTCCTGAGCCAGCATGGCTCAGCTTGGAAACCGCTCCCTTTCCCCTCAGCACGGCTGGCTCAGGAATTCTGGGAGTTGAAGTCCACGAGTCATAAAAGAGCCGAGGTTGCCTACCCCTGGCCTATACCCTTACATATAAGTAACATGTAAATATAAATATTATTCACTGTCCAATAAATGTTATTCACTGTCCATAAATATTATTCACTTCACAACCGTGATGCTAACTTAACAACTGCAGCGATTCACTTTTAACAACTGCGGCAAGAAAGGTCATAAAATGGAGGCAAAACTCACTTAACGGCCGTCTCGTTTAGCAGCAGCAAGTTGAGAGGTGAATTGTGGTTGTGAGTCCAGGACTGCCTGTCCTCGAACTGCTCACAGATGGTTCTCTGAAAACCCCCCAAGTGACTCATGCAAAACCTTTAAAAGAAAACCTCGACTGGTATTTCAGATTTGTTGTTTTGAGTATTATACGATCATGGAAGGGCAAAATGAATTTCGTGGCATTTTTCAGAGCAAAAACTAAAAGGCTAACTTAAAAACCAAGGAAGCTTATAAAAGTAACCATATAGTGATATGGTGCGGCGGGCAAAAACACCAAAATAGCTGGGGTTTCATGAGTGGAAACCGTGGTTTATTCAGTCCTGGAGATATAACGGCCGTCGCTTGTAAGCCCTGTTTGCAGATGTCAGTGGCTAAGTTAATACGTGCCACACCTGCAGCACAAGAGTGTTATCAAAACACACTCCAGGTTTTGGCTTTCTGTTTGTGCAAGCTTGAACAGCACGGTGCCTGCAGGGACCTTTGTGATGCCACAAAGTTTGAGAACAGCTGTGATGTTTTTCTGAAAATGGAATGATTACAAGTAAATGATGCCGTTATGCCTTGCCCCGTCTTAACCTCCGCGGAATCGTTTGGCTTTGTTTATTGAAGAGGACGGTGTGTTCTCGATAAAGGAGAATAGTGGTAGTTTAGGGCTGAAATGAGGGGGTCCTTGGGGCTCTCTGAGCTTGGTGGTTTTCTTGCAGACGTTTCATTACCCGACTAGGTAACATCATCAGGGCTAGAAGGGAGTTGGGGTTGTGGAGAGGAGGAGAAGGAGAAGGAGGAGGAGAAGGAGGTAAAGGAAGACTGTGGGTTCCTTGGTGCTCTCTGAGCTTGGTGGTTTTCTTGCAGACGTTTCATTACCCGACTAGGTAACATCATCAGGGCTAGAAGGGAGTTGGGGTTGTGGAGAGGAGGAGAAGGAGAAGGAGGAGGAGAAGGAGGTAAAGGAAGACTGTGGAGTCCTTGGTGCTCTCTGAGCTTGGTTGTTTTCTTGCAGACATTTCATTACCTAACTAGGTAACATCATCAGGGCTAGAAGGGAATGGGGTTGGAGGAAGAGGAGGAGAAGGAGAAGGAGAAAATGGAAGAGGAGGAGGAAGTTCTTGGTGGTCACTGAGCTTTTTTTTTCTTGCAGACATTTCATTACCAAACTAGGTAACATCATCAGTGCTAGAAGGGAGTAGGGTTTGCCTGGAGGAGGAGGAGGAGGAGGAGGAGGAGGAGGAGAAGATTGTAGGATCCTTGGTGCTCTCTGAGCTTGTTTTTCTTGCAGATGTTTCATGACCCAACTAGGTAACATCATCAGGGCTAGAAGAGAGTGGGGTTTGCAGGGGGGAGGAGGAGAAGGAGTTGTTCTTGGTGCTCTCTTGGCAACTGACTCATACTTATGACGGTTACAGGGTCCTAGGGTCACGTGATCCCCTTCTGCGGCCTTCGGACAAGCAAAGTCACTGGGGAAGCCAGAGTCGCTTAATTACCAACTTTACAACTGCAGTGATTTACTTAACAACCGTGGCAGGAAAGGCCGTATAATGGGGCAAAGCTCACTTAGGAAATGTCTCACTTAGCAACACATTTTGGGCTCCGTTGTGGTCGTAAGTCGAGGACTACCTGTAGAGTATTTAATCTTACATTGCTAACTTGAGTTACTAGCAGCTGGCTGGAATTTCAAGCTGTCATTTCCTCCACTCTTCTTAAGAGAGTCGGGAGATTTGAAGAAACTGGAACTTTCTACATGCAAAACACAAATTTTTACTCCTGGGCTGGCTGTATTAAGGACAATTAACATAGATCATTTTAATGTGACCTTCTCTGCCCTTTTCATTTTTACGGAAAGTGTTTTCTTGACTCACAGCCTCAGTGAATACTATACTCCTGTTTCTGAACTCTTCCATCCAGGTCCAGTGTTGTTTAAAGCAAGAACGGCCACTGGCAAGCAAACAAACCTGCTTGGAAAATGCACAGTTTGTTTTCCAAGATAGGGTTTGTACATCCACGGTTTGCTAGGGCTTCTGAAAATGACTGCTGGGTGGTCAACAGCAGCTGAGTGAGTCCTTTTTTTGCTTCTGCCTTCAGTGATTTTGGGAGCCTTCAGCAACACTCAATATAAATTGGATAACTAAATAGGCAAAGACTGTCTCCAAGGCAGAATGAAAGGATCCACAAGCCGGCTGAACGGTGGCTGAATAAAGCAACTCCTGGACTATATTTTATTCTACCGCACACATCTTATATGAAGAAAGATTGCAGGAATTGGGTGTGTCAAGTAGTTTAATGAAAAGAAGGGCCAGGGGTGGCAGGATAGCAGTCTTCCAATAGTTGAGGGGCTGCCACAAAGAAGAGGGGGGGGGATCCATTTGTCTGAAATGGTATAGGACAGTGGTTCTCAACCTTTTTAATGCCACGACCCCCAACCGGTCGTAAGTTGAGGACTACCCAACCGGTCGTAAGTCGAGGACTTTCCCTGCCCGGGAGCGCCGCGCATGCGTGGTTCCGCCCCCTGCGCTGGCCGAGGCGTAGCTGGCAAGCGGCAGAGACGGAGCAGGCCGACCACCAGCTGGCCCAGCCCAAGGGAGGTAAGGCACCCGCCGGAAAAGGGGAAAAAATGGCGGACAAAAAAAATGGCAGACAGCCTTGCTTGGCGACCCCCATGAAATGGTCGATCGACCCCAAATGGAGTCCCGACCCACAGGTTGAGAACCACTGGTATAGGATTTCCTGCTTGGGCAGGGGGTTGGACCAGAAGACCTCCAAGGTCCCTTCCAACTCTGTTCTTCAGTTATTCTATTATTCTGGCTCAACCTATTTTTCCAAAGCACCAGAAGGCAAGACAAGAAATAATGGATGGAAACTAACTAAGGAGAGAAGCAACCTAGAACTAAGGAGAAATTTCCTGACAGTGAGAATTATTAATCAGTGGAACGGCTTGCCTCCAGAAGTTGTGGGTGCTCCAACACTGGAGGCTTTTAAGAAGAGATTGGACCATTTGTCTGAAATAGTATAGGGCAGGGGTCTTCAAACTTGGCCCTTTTATGACTTGTGGACTTCAACTCCCAGAATTCCTCAGCCAGGCACGCGTGGCTTGAGTAACCCCCTTGAGCAGGGGGTTACTCTAGTCTAGAAGACCCCCAAGGTCCCTTCTGTTATTCTGCAATTCTGCAACATCAATCTGTGTACTCCTTATGGAACTACTGCTTATCCTATATTAGAAAGACTTGCTCCAGTACCGAAGACCTAATTTATGCTTTTGGGATTTTGGAACATGAGTGCAATCAAAAGTCTATTTTAGAGCTGGACCTTGTGAGAATAAGAAACACATTTTGTTTCTTTCCCAAGTTGAGAGGAATATCTCTTACTTTGCAGGATGGTTTTCATTCGTTTTGGGGTTCAGGGCTCTGTAGGAACCCATGCATTAGAGGCAGTTCTCGACTTACGATAAATCGATGAATTGTTTAGTGACTGTTCAAAATTACAACGACACTGAAAAAAGTGACTTACGATCGGCTTTCACACTTACGACCGTTGCAGCCTCCCCGGGGTCAAAATTTGGATGCTTGGCAACTGGCTCGTATTTATGATTGCCTCAGTGTCCCCGGGGGTCACGTGACCCCCCTTTGCGACCTTTGGATAAGCAAAGTCAATGGGGAAGCTGGATCCACTTAACAACCATGTTACTAACTTAATTTCAGTGATTCGTTTAAGAACTGTGGCAAGGAAGCATGTAAAATGGAGCAAAACTCACTGAGCAACTGTCTCATTTAGTAACAAGAAATTTGGGGCTCAGGTTATGGCTGTAAGTCAAGCACTACCTATATAACAGCCTGAAATACAGAGAGATTTTTTATAAAGAGGCTTTTTTTTTTCTTTTTTTGCAAAGGGACAAAAATAGTAAGCAATTGAGGAAAATTCACAATAGCCATTGAATGTCCCTCCTGGTGATCCTTCTTTTACCTTCCCTAAAATAGAACTCAATATAGCTCCCTCCTCACCCCCCCCCCCCGCTTGAAATGAAAGCTAAGGTCCACAATTACATATTTGGTCTTGCAAGTGGGGGAATAAAAAAAAAATCATTAAACCTTTACTAAACCGGTCTCGTCTTTTTCATTTTCTCTCCCTTTGCTTCATCATGGATATCTAAAAGGACAGTTGGAACCGATAAATGAGGTGAGTTAATCTGATGAGTCACCCTTTCTCTTGACACACAGAACGAGACCGTCGTGTGTGTGTGTGTGTGTGTGTGTATGTTTTCCCTTCGCCCCTTCGTCTGGCTTTCTACGCTTGGTGGTGCAAAATTGTGTGGGTAAAAATACACCTTGGTTTCCTGTGGCTAAACAGCCAAGGATTTTTTTTCTTTTTCTTTTTTTCCTTTAACAAGGAGAACTGTGGCTGGTGGGTTTTTGTTGTTTTTGGTTTGGCTGCAGATAATTTCATGTGCTGTCAGTCCACTGGTGTACAAGATTTCTAGTCCTCATGTTATGGGAGAGGATAGGGAATCCCCAGTTGCTCTGCTCGGACGATCTCTTTGAGGTACACGTCGTCCTTGACTTAGGATCATTGACTTATTTCGGACTTACAACAGGACTGGGAAAAGTGATAGTCCTCATACTTATGACCGTCACAGCATCCCCCCAGTCGGGTGATCGACACGGGGGCATTTGGCAACCCCATGTTTGCGGTGTCCCAGAGTTACGTGATCGCCATCTGCGATCTTCCCAGCCCGCTTCTGAATAGGCCAGACTCACTTAGTGCCTACATAATTCATTTAACTTCAGTGATTCGCTTAACAATCATGGGAAAACAGGTCGTTAAACAGGGCATGGCTTACTTGACTGCCTTGCTTAGCAATAGAAATTCTGGCCTGTATTGTAAGTCAAGGGCTTACAATACAGCTGTAGAGGTACGATATAAACTGGAAGTGATTTGGTATATAGGTTTGTGTTTATATTTTTAGTTTATTCCCTGCGACAGTAAGAAATTAACACCTGGTCCAGTTGTTTTCCTTCTTCACCACTGTAGTATACATCGGGATGGGCAACTAAGTCAAGTTTACAGCTAGGCTTCAACTTCCAGAACTCCTGAGCCAGCACAGTCCAGACCCAGAATTCCTTAGCATGGCTGGCTCAGGAATTCTGGGAATTGAAGTCCACAGGTTGAAAAGTTGACATAGTTACCCATCTTTCCGTCTCTGATCTCTTGATCTTCTCTGACTTCAAACTTGAGAAGTCCTAGAGCAGGGGGTCTTCAAACTTGGCCCTTTTTTGACTTGTGGACTTCAACTCCCAGAATTCCTCAGCCAGGCACACTGGGAGTTGAAGTCCACAAGTCATACAAGGGCCAAGTCTGAAGACCCCTGTCCTAGAGAGATGTTATGTTTTTGGTCTTGTGGATGCCAAGGGCTTTGGAATGAATACCATCCTTTTAATTGATAAGGTTTCTTCTGGAAAAAAAACACACTAATGGAGCCCTAACGTGCAACTCAATTTAAAATCTTAGTTTGGGGCTAAAGCAACATTTCAGTGGCTCCCACAGGGCTCCATTGGGGAGGGGGGGGCCCTGAGAGGTCCTCTCGGAGCTGTCCAGGGTCCTGATTCATTACCAACTGCTCTCATAGATTTGGTTTGGCCAATTGTAATTATTCAATTTCTTCTTCTTTTATTCAAAAGATTAACATCCAAAATCCAAAAGAAGACAGTTGAACAGAGACAGAACAAACCCCCCCCCCCAAAAATATTGGGAAAAACTTTTTTTTTCCCCACTGGTTTGGCTAATTGTGATTTGCTTCCCTGAAACCTGGACTTCATCTTTGTTTTATCATCCCTTGACGCATGATGCTCACACCCTATTCCCCCCTCCCCATGTGGTGCTTGTTTTGAAAAGTCCAGAACTGGTTGACCTTTCCTTCATGATCTGATTCACTCACACGGCTTCTATTGCTTTTCAAAGCACGAAAGCTTTCCTCATTTTTTTAAACGCTTGCTCCATTCCGTGAAGACGATGGATTATAAAAATGTACAGCAAGGTTTAAATTCTCTCGATTCCGCTCACGGTAAAGCACTGAAATTCTTCCAGCTTGGCATGTATTTTATTGGCTTGAGTTAGTGTAGCGGAAACCATAGGCTTTTCTTTGTGGGCAAATTCTGGAATCTTCTCACTTAATTAGGATTTGTTTTAATTTATGAGCCTTTATTCCTCTTCTACATCTTCCATTCTTAGCAGGGGGTTTGGAAAACATTTTGCCCTGTGCATTACAATTCTACAAGAATGTTAGCTTGCAGGAAAACTCAAGATCCAGCACGGATGGCTGGGGAATTCTGGGAGATGAAGTCTACAGGTTTTTAATTTGCCAAGGTTGGACATCCCTAGTTTAGCAGGTTGTTGGAACTTGGACTACAGTTTGAACAAACCTTATGCCAAACCATGGATTTTTAGCCAAGGTTTGGATGAGCCATAGGGGCTGGGGTCATGCTGACCCATAAGCCATGGTTTAGGAACCAGAGAAAATATAAAAAAAAGATCCTATTGTGGTTTTCATACCCATCTCCCTCTGCTTGGCTCTTGCTGGAAATTTTGGACACCGGCTCATATCGTTTCCAGTTTTCATGAATGATAGGTTTGATGTCCAGTATTCCAGACGTCGGAGAGAAAAATCTATCTCTGTGGTCACTAGGAGTCAAAACATGACTTGATAGTCCAACATCCAACAATATCCAGAAAGATCCAAGCTGACCAAAGCAGAATAAGCAAAAATCTAGATCTGTGATTACAGAGATGTACACACACACACACACAGCTGAAATCCTCCTGGGATCTGCCTGTTAAATTACAATTGTTTATCCTTGTTCACCGTCAGCTGCTTGTAATTCTGCTTTCTGGTTTCTAACGGCCTCAGGGCCTGTTGTCTAGAATCTCGGATCTTTTGCTGTGCAGATGGACCTGTCGCAACTGTTGTCAGAAGTGCTACGAGTGCAGCTGTTGCCAGTCCAACGAAGACGAGGTGGAAATCCTGGGGCCTTTTCCAGCCCAAACCCCTCCCTGGTTGTAAGTTTGGGAGTGTTTCGAAGGCACCGTTTATTTGAAGGGTGGTTCGGAGGAGGTCACCGAGTTTGGTAATGAAAGGTCTGCAAGAAAGCCATCCAACTCAGAGACCCACCAAGGACCCTTCCGTTATATAATGCTCCCAATTTAATGGCAGGTTTCTTCAAGCTAATAGTAAACAGCATCCTAATTAAGAACGAAGCCACTAGTATAGTGATGGCGAACCTTTTAGAGACCGAGTGCCCAAACTGCAACCCAAAACCCACTTATGTATCGCCGGGTGTTGGGTGGGCGTGGCCCATTGGGTGGGCGTGGCTGCGGTGGTAACGGCAGACTGGGTGGGACTAAAAAGTTCAATCAATCAATTCCAACTTTGCAAGATCTTTTTTTCCCCGTGAGAAGATGAAATTGACTGATTGATTGAACCTTTTTTTTTTTGCACACGGCGGCAGAGGCCTAAAGCGAAAAGGTTTTATAAAACCAGGCTGAAGGCCTAGGACTGGGGTGACGGTGTGCGTGCCCACAGAGAGGGCTCTGAGTGCCGCCTCTGGCACCCGTGCCATAGGTTCACCACCACTGCACTAGTATATAAAAGAGCAAACCCTACAGCCTTCTAGCACTGATGTTATCTAGTTTGGTAATGAAATGTCTGCAAGAAAAAAAACCAAGCTCAGTGACCACCAAGAACTACTACTACTACTACTACTACTACTACTACTACTACTACTACTACTACTACTACTACTNTCAACTTCCAGAACTCCTGAGCCAGCACAGTCCAGACCCAGAATTCCTTAGCATGGCTGGCTCAGGAATTCTGGGAATTGAAGTCCACAGGTTGAAAAGTTGACATAGTTACCCATCTTTCCGTCTCTGATCTCTTGATCTTCTCTGACTTCAAACTTGAGAAGTCCTAGAGCAGGGGGTCTTCAAACTTGGCCCTTTTATGACTTATGGACTTTAAACTCCCAGAATTCCTCAGCCAGGCATGCTGGCTGAAGAATTCTGGGAGTTGAAGTCCACAAGTCATACCAGGGCCAAATCTGAAGACCCCTGTCCTAGAGAGATGTTATGTTTTTGGTCTTGTGTATGCCAAGGGCTTTGGAATGAGTACCATCCTTTTAATTGATAAGTTTTCTTCTGGAAAAAAAAAAAACTAATGGAGCCCTAACGTGCAACTCAATTTAAAATCTTAGTTTGGGGCTGAAGCAACATTTCAGTGGCTCCCACAGGGCTCCATTGGGGGTGTGGGGTGTGGAGAGGTCCTCTCGGAGCTGTCCAGGGTCCTGATTCATTACCAACTGCTCTCATAGATTTGGTTTGGCCAATTGTAATTATTCAATTTCTTCTTCTTTTAGTCAAAAGATTAACATCCAAAATCCAAAAGAAGACAGTTGAACAGAGACAGAACAACCCCCCCCCAAAAAAAATATTGGGAAAAACTTTTTTTTTCCCCACACTGGTTTGGCCAATTGTGATTTGCTTCCCTGAAACCTGGACTTCATCTTTGTTTTATCATCCCTTGATGCATGATGCTCACACCCTATTCCCCCCCCCATGTGGTGCTTGTTTTGAAAAGTCCAGAACTGGTTGACCTTTCCTTCATGATCTGATTCACTCACACGGCTTCTATTGCCTTTCAAAGCACGAAAGCTTTCCTCATTTTTTTAAACGCTTGCTCCATTCCGTGAAGACGATGGATTATAAAAATGTACAGCAAGGTTTAAATTCTCTCGATTCCGCTCACGGTAAAGCACTGAAATTCTTCCAGCTTGGCATATATTTTATTGGCTTGAGTTAGTGTAGCGGAAACCATAGGCTTTTCTTTGTGGGCATATTCTGGAATCTTCTCACTTAATTAGGATTTGTTTTAATTTATGAGACTTTATTCCTCTTCTGCATCTTCCATTCTTAGCAGGGGGTTTGGAAAACATTTTGCCCTGTGCATTACAATTCTACAAGAATGTAAGCTTGCAGGAAAACTCAAGATCCAGCACGGATGGCTGGGGAATTCTGGGAGATGAAGTCTACAGGTTTTTAATTTGCCAAGGTTGGACATCCCTAGTTTAGCAGGTTGTTGGAACTTGGACTACAGTTTGAACAAACCTTATGCCAAACCATGGATTTTTAGCCAAGGTTTGGATGAGCCATAGGGGCTGGGGTCATGCTGACCCATAAGCCATGGTTTAGGAACCAGAGAAAATCAAAAAAAGAATCCTATTGTGGTTTTCATACCCATCTCCCTCTGCTTGGCTCTTGCTGGAAATTTTGGACACCGGCTCACATCGTTTCCAGTTTTCATGAATGATAGGTTTGATGTCCATTATTCCAGAAGTCGGAAAGAAAAATCTATCTCTGTGGTCCCTAGGAGTCAAAAAATGACTTGATAGTCCAACATCCAACAATATCCAGAAAGATCCAAGCTGACCAAAGCAGAATAAGCAAAAATCTAGATCTGTGATTACAGAGATGTAAACACACACACACACACACACACACACACACACACACACACACACACACACACACGGAGCTGAAATCCTCCTGGGATCTGCCTGTTAAATTACAATTGTTTATCCTTGTTCACCGTCAGCTGCTTGTAATTCTGCTTTCTGGTTTCTAACGGCCTCAGGGCCTGTTGTCTAGAATCTCGGATCTTTTGCTGTGCAGATGGACCTGTCGCAACTGTTGTCAGAAGTGCTACGAGTGCAGCTGTTGCCAGTCCAATGAAGACGAGGTGGAAATCCTGGGGCCTTTTCCAGCCCAAACCCCTCCCTGGTTGTAAGTTTGGGAGTGTTTCGAAGGCACCGTTTATTTGAAGGGTGGTTCGGAGGAGGTTACTTAGTTTGGTGATGAAATGTCTGCAAGAAAGCCATCCAACTCAGAGTCCCACCAAGGACCCTTCCATTATATAATGCTCCCAATTTAATGGCAGGTTTCTTCAAGCTAATAGTAAACAGCATCCTAATTAAGAACCAAGCCACTAGTACAGTGATGGCAAACCTTTTAGAGACCGAGTGCCCAAACTGCAACCCAAAACCCACTTATGTATCGTCGGGTGCCGGGTGGGTGTGGCCCATTGGGTGGATGGGTGTGGCCCATTGGGTGGATGGGTGTGGCCCATTGGGTGGGCGTGGCTGCGGTGGTAACGGCAGACTGGGTGGAACTAAAAAGTTCAATCAATCAGTTCCAACTTTGCAAGATCTTTTTTTTTCCACGAGAAGATGAAATTGATTGATTGATTGAACCTTTTTTTTTTTTTGCACACGGCGACAAAGGCCTAAAGGGAAAAGGTTTTATAAAACCCAGCTGAAGGCCTAGGACTGGGGCGACAGTGCGCGTGCCCACAGAGAGGGCTCTGAGTACCGCCTCTGGCACCCGTGCCATAGGTTCGCCACCACTGCACTAGTATATAAAAGAGAGCAAATCCTACAGCCTTCTAGCACTAATGTTATCTAGTGTGGTAGTGAAATGTCTACAAGAAAAAAACCCAAGCTCAGTGACCACCAAGAACTACTACTACTACTACTACTACTACTACTACTACTACTACTACTACTTCTTCTTCTTCTTCTTCTTCTTCTTCTTCTTCTTCTTCTTCTTCTTCTTCTTCTTCTTCTTCTTCTTCTTCCTCCTCCTCCTCCTCCTCCTCCTCCTCCTCCTCCTCCTCTACTTGTGTCATCTACAAGCAGGGTATCCTTCCTTAATAAACATATACCGTATATTTGTGCCATCATAAGCAGGGTATCCTTCCTTTATAAATATTTATTTGTGCCATCTAGGGGGAGGATATCCTTTCCTTATATATATATACTGTATATATATTTACCATGTAGGAACAGGGCATTCTTTATAAGTATATATTTGTCCCCTTTATGAGCAGAATGTTCTTCCTTTATAAATAGATATATTTGTGCCAGCTACAAGCAGGATGTCCTTCCTTTATAAAGAAATATATATTTGGAGCTAGAGTCAGAGAAAGAGGTGTTAGGCATAATTTTATGTCAAAGAAGAAAAGCACTATGTATTTTCAATTATGGCACCTTCTGAGGGCTGACCTCAACTGGTCTGTCTCAAGGTAGCAAATCTTATTATGCTGATTTAACAAATATGGTGAGGACCCCTTTCTTTGTTGCCTCTCTAATAATGTGCTTTCCTATTGCTTCCCCCCCCCTTGTTGCTTTTATTTCTTTGAGATGAGAGCTGCGGGGGTGGGGGGGCTCTGAGGTGTTGTAGATCATAAGATAAATGACATGCCTGTTTCATTTTATATATATATATAAGCCTTGTATTCTGTGAAATTAAACTGGAAGCGTAGCTCCATTCTTCCTCTCAGCAGTTGCCCTTGTTAAGCAAAATCCGGAGCTTTTCAAAAGAAAGCAGAGCGAGTGAAAAGAATTGTAAATTAGCAGCAGCAATGGTTTGCTGGATGGGGAGGGGGGAGGATATTTGTTTTCTGTTTGCATTAGTTTTTTTTTAAAAAAATGAATTTATTTATTTTGATTTTTTTTTTAAAATTCAAGATGATGTATATTTTTAGTACTCCCTCCTTCTCCTCCTATTTTCCCCACAGTAACAAATACGTGAGGTGGGATGGACTGAGAGACAAGGATTGGCCCAAAGTCACCCAGCTGTCATTCCTACAGTAGCTAAGGCAGAACTAGAATTCACAGTCTCCTGGTGATTGGTCCAAAGTCACCCAGCCGGCTTTCATGTCTAAGGTGGACTAGAACTCACTGTCTCCTGGTGATTGGCCCAAAGTCTCCCAGCTGGCTTTCATGTCCAAGGCGGACTAGAATTCACAGTCTCCTGGTGATTGGCCCAAAGCCACCCAGCTGGCTTTCATGTCCAAGGCGGACTAGAATTCACAGTCTCCTGGTGTTGGCCCAAAGTCTCCCAGCTGGCTTTCATGTCCAAGGCGGACTAGAATTCACAATCTCCTGGTGTTGGCCCAAAGTCTCCCAGCTGGCTTTCATGTCCAAGGCGGACTAGAACTCACAGTCTCCTGGTGATTGGCCCAAAGCCACCCAGCTGGCTTTCATGTCCAAGGCGGACTAGAACTCACAGTCTCCTGGTGATTGGCCCAAAGCCACCCAGCTGGCTTTCATGTCCAAGGCGGACTAGAATTCACAGTCTCCTGGTGATCGGCCCAAAGCCACCCAGCCGGCTTTCATGTCTAAGACAGGACTGGAACTTACCATCTCTTGGTCATTGGCCCAAAGTCACCTAGCCAGCTTTCATGTCTTAAGGCAGAACTAGAACTCACAGTTTCATGCTGATTGGCTGCATGTCACCCAGCCAGCTTTCATGCCTAAAGTGTGACTAGAACTCACTAACTCTTGGTTTCTAGTCTCTCTCAGTCTTGGCCAATGTAAGACCTGTGGACTTCAACTCCCGGAATTCCCTAGCCAGCATCCTGAGGAAATTTCAGCTGTTTGGCCTTCAGTTCACAACTTAAAGCTCCTCAGCCTATCTGGTTGGAGAATTCTGGGAGTTGGTCCATATTTCTTAAAGTTGTCATGGTTGAGAAACAGTAGTCTAGGGTCTACTGTCCCATCATCTAGTGTCTCTCATCTATTTTGAGAGTTTAGAAAAAAATTCAGAGAAGAGCAACTAAGATGATCAAAGGCCTGGAGGCTAAAACATACAAAGAACGGTTGCGGGACTTGGGTTTGGCCAGTCTAAAGAAAAGAAGAAATAGGGGAGACAAGATAGCAGTGTTCCAGTATCTGAGGGGCTGCCACAAGGCAGAGGGGGCCAGGTTGTTGTTCATCAGAGCACCAGAGGGAAGGATGAGAAATAATGGTTGGAAACTGATCAAGGAGAGAAGCAACCTGGAATTAAGGAGAAACTTCCTGACAATGAGGACAATCAACCAGTGGAACAGCTTACCCCCAGAAATAGTAGGCGCTCCATCACTGGAGATTTTTAAAAAGAGGCTAGACAGTCACCTGTCTGAGATGGTATAGGTTCTCCTGCTTGAGCGGGGGGCTGGACTAGAAGACCTCCAAGGTCCCTTCCAGCTCTATTTTATTGTTTTTTTTTACACTCCATGTATGTTCTATCGTCAATGCACTCATGAAGTCAAAAAAGGGTTTATTTTTTCCTCAAAAGTCCAGGCACTTGCATGCTCATGGTCCAGGGGAAGAAAACGAGGAATGGAAGCGTTGCCTGGATGATTCCAAGATTTGATCTTTCCAACAGGCTAAGCAATCGAAGTGAAGACAAAAATGGCAACACGGATAACGCAACGGGTGAACCACCCCCAACCCCTCAGAATGTTTCACTGGACAGAAGACGGTCGTCCACGGAGACCTCCCGTTCCACTTACAGCCTTACAAGACGAATTTCGAGTAAGTTAGCTGGTGATCAGAGAAGCCGGACCACACCTGACCGCCATCTTGGCAGATAGGATGGGTGGAGCTTGATGGAAAAGGAACTTAGTTATCCTGATGATAGATAGGTCCTCTTTAACTACCTTTACCTTAAGTACCTTTTACATTTAACCCGGACCAGTGAAAACCCAAATGATAGGGAGTGCCCCGCCGATTTATCAGTCAACGAATCCTGCAAATTCAGATAATGCAGGAAGCAAATTAAATATGTCGTGCAAATACAAAGTCTTGGAAAATGAATGTTCTCTGCAATCTACTTTCTCACTTGCTCCCATGCCTGCTCATTTTTTTTTATAAAAAAAAACAAACACTTTCTGCCTCAGACACACACACCTACATTCTGGAACAAAGGTATAGGTAGATAGATAGTTCTCAACTTACAACTGTTTGTTTAGTGACCGTTCAAAGTGACAGTGGCATTGGAAAAAAAGTGATCGATGAGCGCTTTTCACACAACTGTGGCAGCCTCCCCCCTGGTCACCTGATCAACATTCAGCCGCTGGGCAACTGACTCACATTTGTGACGGTCGCAGCGTCCCGGGGTCATGTGATCGCTTTATGCGATCTTCTGACACGCAAAGTCAATGGGGAAGCCAGATTCACTTAATGACGATGTTACTAACTTAACAACTGCAGTGATTCGCTTCACAACGGTGGCAAGAAAGGTTGTTAACATGGGGCAAATCTCCATGAACCGTCTTGGTTAGCAATGGAACTTTTGGGCTGAATTGTTGTAAGCTGAGGACTACCTGTACACACACAGCCACCCATGTAACACACACACATATATTCTGGAAGAAAAGCAAATTCTTCCCCCTTTTTTTATCAGCCCCCCCCCCCCAAAAAACCCTGCACAGATATGTCCAGGCCTTTTAGCAGGAGTTCAACTGAATCCAAAGCATTTTTCCCTTTTGGATGACTGCTGACTGCGACTTTCTGCCCTTTTTTTAAAAAAATATCCTGTTTTTTCCTCCCTCTCATCCAGGTCTAGAGCTGAGGAGACCAAGTTCTCCCCTGGTTGACATTAAGCCCATCGAGTTTGGAATTCTAGGCTCCAAAAAGGAGATTGTCCAGCCCAGCATCCTGCGGAAAACCTACACTCCGGATGAGTATTTTAGGAAATTCGAGCCAGGACTGTATTCCCTTGATTCAAATAACGACGATCTGGATTCCTTGACGGACGAAGAGATCTTAGCCAAGTATCAGCTGGGGAAGCTCCATTTTAGCACTCAGTACGACCTCTTGCACAACTATCTCATCGTCCGGGTCATTGAAGCCAAGGACCTGCCTCCCCCCATCTCCTACGATGGCGCCAGGCAAGACATGGCCCACTCAAACCCCTATGTGAAGATCTGTCTCCTTCCCGACCAGAAGAACTCAAAGCAGACGGGGGTCAAGCGTAAGACCCAGAACCCCATCTTTGAAGAGAGGTACATGTTCGACATCCCGTTTTTGGAAGCTCAGAGGAGGACTCTGCTCTTGACCGTGGTGGATTTTGACAAATTTTCACGCCACTGTGTCATCGGGAAGGTGTCCATGCCGTTGAGTGAGGTGGACCTGGTGAAGGGCGGCCACTGGTGGAAAGCGCTGGTGCCCAGTTCTCAGGTAACTTGTGGGTTTCCATTCAATGAATTCAAAGGGCATTTTATTTTTATTTTTTTTAATTGTTCTTTTAATTTGCTGGGTTTGGTTTTAAGGACTCAGCTGCAGTGATATTTCTTAGGCCATTTTAGCCTCAGGTTGTTTATAGTTTCTCCTTTTGACTATAGTGGAGTTCCTTTCCTTTCCTTTCCTTTCCTTTCCTTTCCTTTCCTTTCCTTTCCTTCCCTTCCCTTCCCTTCCCTTCCCTTCCCTCTTGCTTCCCTTCCCTTCCTTTCCCATCTTTTGCCTTTCCTTTCCTTTCCTTCCCTTCCCTTCCCTTCCCTTCCCTTCCCATCCCATCTTTCGCCTTTCCTTCCCTTCCCTTCCCTTCCCTTCCTTTCCTTTCCTTTCCTTTCCTTTCCTTTCCTTTCCTTTCCTTTCCTTTCCTTTCCTTTCCTTTCCTTTCCTTTCCTTGTCTTTCCTTTCCTTTCCTTTCCTTTCCTTTCCTTTCCTCCCCTCCCCTCTCCTCCCCTCCCCCACCCCATCCCCATCCTTCCCTTCGCAATTTCAAAAAACGAATTCAGCTTGTACTGCATTGCATTAAAAAAAGTGACACATCAAGAATCCTTGTTCGCAGTGTTTGATTCAGCTTGCCCTTTTCTGTTGCAGAACGAAGTTGAGCTGGGAGAGCTTTTGCTCTCATTAAACTACCTTCCCAGTGCGGGGAGACTCAATGTGGACATAATTAGAGCAAAGCAGTTACTGCAGACTGATATGAGCCAAGGGTCAGGTAGGGTTTTGTGTGAATGCAGGTGTGTATTTTGTTATTGGACTGGGAGCATGTAGATGAACATGGGAGTGTTTTCCCCAATGTATTTATATAACACTGGTTGTAGTCTTTTCCCCCTAGTATTATTATTATCGAGAGCCAGTTTGGTGTAAGGGTTAAGGCACCTGGCTAGGAATCTGAAGACCACCCCTCCTGCTCCTTCCTAGGGCACAAAACCAGCTGGGTGATCGTGGGCCAGTCCCTCTCTCTCAGCCCTAGGAAGGAGGCAATGGCAAACCACTTCTGAAATCTTGCCAAGAAAACGGCAGGAACCTGTCCAGCCAGCTGTCAGGAGTCAAAACAGACTCAAAAGTATCTCTTCTCTTCTCTTCTCTTCTCTTCTCTTCTCTTCTCTTCTCTTCTCTTCTCTTCTCTTCTCTTCTCTTCTCTTCTCTTCTCTTCTCTTCTCTTCTCTCTCCTCTGATCTATCTATCCACAGTATTCTTTGATCTCTCTCTCTTCCCCACATCCCTTCCTACTTACCTATCATGTATCTAGAAATTATTTATCTATCAGCCATCTATTGGTTCTTTGTGCTATTATTTATCTATCAGCTCTTTGATTATCTATCTATCTATCTATCTATCTATCTATCTATCTATCTATCTATCTATCTATCTATCTATCCATCTATCAGTTCTTTGAACTATCATTCATCTTATCTATTTGATTATCTATCTGTCTGTCTATCTCAGTTCTTTGATCTATCTATCATTTATCTGATCTATCTATCTATCTATCTATCTATCTATCTATCTATCTATCTATCTATCTATCTATCTACCCCTGTTCTTTGATCTATCTATTCATTTTATCTGTCTCTGTCTCTATCTATCTATCTCTGTTCTTTGATCTATCATCTATTCATTTTATCTGTCTGTCTGTCTGTCTGTCTATCTATCTATCTATCTATCTATCTATCTATCTATCTATCTATCTGTTCTTTGATCTATCATCTATTCATTTTATCTATCTGTCTATCTATCTATCTATCTATCTATCTATCTATCTATCTATCTATCTATCTATCTATTCTTTGATCTATCATCTATTCATTTTATCTATCTATCTATCTATCTATCTATCTATCTATCTATCTATCTCTGTTCTTTGATCTATCATCTATTCATTTTATCTATCTGTCTATCTATCTATCTATCTATCTATCTATCTATCTATCTATCTATCTATTCTTTGATCTATCATCTATTCATTTTATCTATCTATCTATCTATCTATCTATCTATCTATCTATCTATCTATCTATCTATCTATCTATCTATCTATCTATCTATCTATCTATCTATCTATCTATCTATCATCTACCTACCTACCTACCTTAACAACATCTCACAAACGGGAGAAGAGAATGACTTAGTTCTTGATTCTTCTGCCCCATCAGGCACAGGATCTTCTGCCCCCTTTCCAGGCTTGATGCCTTGTTCTCAAGGCGGAGATGGTACAGCCGGCCTCTCTACCAAGGAGAATCTCCTTGGCTGTTGCCTTCAGCCCCAATCTGATTCCCTGCCCACTCCTTTCTGCTGAAGCTCTTGTTTTCCCTCAAAGAGACCAAGGGATCCGCTTCTCACTCTCCCCCCACAGTCTGATTGAAAGCAAACAGCACATTCTGACCTCTTGTGCTGAACAATAGCTGCCTCTCATTTGTCATTTGAAAAATTGAAATAGCAGGCCTCCTTCTTCGTCCAGAAGCGGCTTCTCTTTCTGAGGAGAGGTCAAGGCTGTTTCTTCCCCCCCCCCTTCCTTCAGAAAAAGGACCCCCTCCCCTTGCAGATTTTTCCACCATTTTGTTTTTTTACCATGGACGATTGTTTCCCCTGGAATGGAAAACGTGACCAATAACCGTGAAAAAAATTAAAATAAACACTCATATTTCCAGAGGAAAGTTATAAGAAATTTTTCTACCCCTGAGGATGAGGTGCTGTGGCCTTGAAAAAGGTGTGTGTTTCCCCCCCCCCCACACACACACACCTTCTATTCCTTAAAAGCCTGCATTGCTATACAGGTAATCCTGTACTTATGAGCACAACTGAGCCCAAACTTTTTGTTGCTAAGTGAGACACTTAAATGAGTTTTGCCCCATTTTACGAACTTTCTCGCCACAGTTGTTAAATGAATCACTGCAGTTCTTAAGTTAATAACAGGGTTGTTAAGGGTATCTGGCTCCCCCCGTTGACTTTGCTTGTCAGAAGCTCGCAAAAGGGGATCACGTGACCCCCCGGAACATTAAAACCGTCATAAATGTGAGTCAGTTGCCAAGCGTCTGAATTTTAATCACGTGATCAAGGGGAGGCTGCAACGGTCGTACGCCTGAAAAAGGTCATGTCACTTTTTTGCAGTGCTATTGGTCAAAGAATGCACTGTTGTAAGTTGAGGACCACCTGTATAATGCTGAATTTTTATTATAGTATATATTTAGCGACAATGAAAATATAACAACAATAAGGAAAAATACGCAGGACGATTCAAACCAGGAAGAAAGAGAGAGAACGCGAAAGAGAGAAACGATTCATACAGCATTAATATGGAACCAGCTTAACCTTTTAACATATAATTAAATGTAGATTATAGACCTAGGAATATTGCGCTCTCTTTTCCCATTTGTACAAACGCAAAACATTTTAAAGATGGATAGAGAGTATAAATGCTTTATCCACTCTTAACATCTGGCGGGTTGGTTTCTTTCCACCTACGTGGGACAATTCCCTAGACACAGCTTGAGATTTTCATAAAATGTCAAGTTCCATATTTTAGGAATATAAATGCCTCACATTTAATGGTTATGTGCTTCCCCAGAGTTGTGTAACATGTGTTTATGACTTGAAACCTAAAAACTTAGTCTGTAAAGGAGCATGACCAAATCATGCGAGTCAGACAGCCCTCAAATCTCTTATGGCGCCAACACACACAAAAATGGATATCCATCCTTTTTCATACAGTCTTCAAAGACGCCAATAAAATGGTATGAAATGTCTGGGAAAACAACTTCATCTCCAGATCATAAGAAATATGTTTCATGTTTCTTAAAACCTGAATAGAAGATTACGAGTCAACCATGATTGCCTTTAGGATGATAGCGCACCTCTTGAAACCACGGTTTCTTCTTGGTTTTCCGATTGGAATTGTGACTTACCATGACATGTGACTAGGGCATATATTTCCTGGTTTGCTCTTGGTTTAAGTAAACTCAGCAAACTATAATTACGCAAAATGAGAACAGAGGGTTAAAAAATAAATAGGATCTGGGTAAGCAAAGTAGGATCTCCAGCTTTAAAATTCACTCTGACTGGTTTTTGACTTGCTCAATAAACTAGGGTTCAAATAACTCGTAGCTTAATCTGATGCACGCATGGAGCTGTTCATTTGCCAAGCTGGAATTGTTTGTGCTTTCTGTTCAGATCCCTTTGTGAAAATCCAGCTTGTTCATGGGTTAAAGTTAGCCAAGACCAAGAAGACCTCCTGCATGAAGGCCACCATCGACCCTTTCTACAACGAGTCCTTCAGCTTCAAGGTGGCACAAGAAGAACTTGAAAATACTAGTCTGGTTTTCACAGGTATGTGACTCGTATCTTTCCAGTGTGTTTTTCGTGCAATACAATTAAGGACGTGTGGGGGGGGGGGAGAGCGAATTTCCACCAACATCTAAACATGACCGAATGGTGAAGGCTGTCTTGTAATTGTAGCATGCAGCCTGCACTGCGCCTGGTTCCTTTCTCCAGATCAGAAACCCTGATAATTATTGCAGGAGTGAGTCATCCCTTGCCAGCGTTTGGGAAAGGAAAGATGGTCAAAATAACATTCGCTGTTTAAAAAAAATAAAACAGCGATGCAGTTCCAGATCTTCTCCACCGTGTATTTCTTTTGCATCTACAACAGGACGGCGTTGTGTCCACATCTCTGTGGTTTTGTCCTGGGTGTGGCTTCTCTGGATGAGCTGCCCTAGCCTTGAAAATTGAAAATCAAGGCACCTTTGAAGAAGGGAAGAAGTTCCTGGGATCAATGGGCCATGCTCGGCAATTATTTAATTATGCTTTATTGAATGAACATGCCTTGAAGGTTTATGATGAAGCCATTAATCAAGACTGGCAAACATCTCCTCTGAGTTCAGGCAATAATCACACTGACGTTCATGCCACATTCTAAGCCCAAACCAAATCAACCTCATGATTGGTCAGCATGTTGTTCAACGTCATGATTGGTTGAGCTATCATTTCAACCATGACTGGCTGGGTTGGCCCTTCAACCTAAGCCAGCAAACATGGTTTAGAGACCATAATGTCTGAATTTAGACAATGTGTGAAATCAAAGGTCAACGCACAACAGGATCCTAGAGCGATGGGGCAAAATGAGGATGGGCAAATCAACGACGAGGCAATCAAGTAGCTTTTTCTGTGGGTGTGCTTTCTGCTCCATTTCAGCATAAATCAAGGTCTACCTATACTGCCCAATAGCAATAGCACTTAGACTTATATATACCGCTTCATAGTGTTTTACAGCCCTCTCCAAGGGGTTTACAGAGTCAGCCTATGGTCCCCAACAATCTGGGTCCCCATTTTACTGACCTCGGAAGGATGGAAGGTGAGTCAACTGTGAACCGGTCAGGATCGAACTGCGCCACCACAGTTCTTTGATCCAGTGGATTTGTTGGAACCTAATGATTAATTCATCATAGCTATTTTACACAATTAAAGCAGCAAATCTTTTGGTGTTATCACTTTGTTGCATTTTAGAATCTAATGACTATAGGCCTTCACAGTTTAAGGATGGATATTATATTATAGTTTAGACCAGTGGTTCTCAACCTTTTTAATGCCGCGACCCCAACCGGTCGTAAATCAAGGACTAAACCGGTCGTAAGTCGAGGACTAAACCGGTCGTAAGTCGAGGACTAAACCGGTCGTAAGTCGAGGACTACCCAACCGGTCGTAAGTCGAGGACTTTCCCTGCCCGGGAGCGCCACGCATGCATGGTTCCGCCCCCTGCGCCGGCCGAGGCGTAGCTGGCAAGCGGCAGAGACGGAGCAGGCCGACCACCAGCTGGCCCAGCCCAAGGGAGGTAAGGCACCCGCCGGAAAAGGGGAAACAAAATGGCGGACAAAAAAATGGTGGACAAAAAAAATGGCGGACAGCCTTGCTTGGCGACCCCCATGAAATGGTCGATCGACCCCAAATGGGGTCCCGACCCACAGGTTGAGAACCACTGGTTTAGACTGTGTTGTGTTTTGTCTACATGCAATTGACAGATTGTAGATTTTTATTTATTTTTTTTTTTTTTCAATATAAAATTTTTATTATTTTTATCATAGAAAAAAAAACATCACAAATATTACACAATACTATATGAAAACCCACCTCCCACCCCCCCGGACTTCCCAAACCTAGTCCCAGGATAATATTCAAATATAAGTAAACAAGTATTAATATCTCTAACTCCACAAAGTATATTATTCTACATGAGTAGGTAAAATATAAAAGAACAAATTTACTGAAAACCTAAATTATATTCCACCAGTAGATTTTTATTTGTTGTTTATTATTTTAGTCTAGAATTTTTAACTGGATATTCCTTGAATGTTTTTAATTTGTTCCGGTCTTTGACTATAATAAGCACTGACTTGACTGGACAGAGGTTCTTGTTTTTTAAAATGGTTTCTCTTTTGCCCATAACTTCTATTCTGCAACTTTTGTAGATCCCTTTTTCAGAGGGGAAACTTTTCTGCTGAGTTTGGACTGCTTTTGTATCGTGTTGTATTGTCAGTTTTCAGGCATCTCTCTCCCTCCCCCCTCTCTCTCTCTCCCTCCCTCCCCCTCCCTCCCTCTCCCTCTCCCTTTCTCCCTCCCTCTCTCTCCCTCCCTCCCCCCACTTTTTTTTATTCCTCCAGTCTACGGCCACAACGTGAAAAGCAGCAACGACTTCATCGGGAGAATTGTCATTGGCCAGTATTCGACAGGCTCCTCAGAGTCCAAGCACTGGCGACGGATGCTCACCTCCCACCGTACCGCTATTGAGCAGTGGCACAGCCTCCGCTCGCGAGCCGAGTGTGACCGAGTCTCGCCAGCTTCCCTGGAGGTGACGTGAGCCACCAATGCTGCTCCAGAGGCCCGTCAGACCAGTCCCCTCCATGCACGCCGTATACAAGTTCATTGCCTTTGGATTGACCATCCACAACCGTTGGCAGCCCAATGTTTGCCATTGATCACTGAGTTTTGGTCATCTTCAAGTCTCACCTGCAGTTTTAGTTGTCTCAGGTTCATGGACGCACCCTTATCCAAGATGCTCTTGTCGTTGTTGAGGAAGCCTGGGCTTTTGGAAAGATGTCCATGGTTTGAAGGCCTCCTTTGATTGCCCCCCAGCATTAACCATCTAGGACAGATCATTAGCCATACAAAACGCTGGGCTACATCGACATTTTTCTGTCCTTATTGCTCCACCATAACTCTCCATTCCTACGGTCCGTTGTCTTAGACAATGCCAATTCCCCCATGTGCTCTCTTTGGTGAATGTCTGGTGAACCAGCTAGAAGCTCTGACAGTATTTTAGCAGTAGAGTGTAGGGCGAAGTCTGTGGTGTCTAAATCCCGTCTTTTGTTCTTGTGGTGGCTTGACAAAATATCACGTGTGCTTCTGTGTCTCGAATGGTCCACATGGGTGATGACCAGGGGAGGCCAAAGGCTCTTTCCCCCACAACCACGCTTGTTTGTCCCACATTTTATCTGACGGATCCCACAGCCAGAGTGGACCACCGCAGGATCAAGAATGGGTGAGCCACATGGATTCCACAGGGGAACCGCTATAGGTTGGAAGCAAGGAGAGGGCCGTGGGTGAAGAAGATGTGGAAGACATCAATCTGTGACTTGGAAAAAAATGCATTTCATACCTGCCTCTCGACTGCACATCTTTGACCATGAGTGAGCTGGAATGAAAAGCTTATGAAGAATTCTGGACAATGGTTTATTTTTTTTAACCATCTATCTTTCTTGAACCTCTGGCACTTGAGTTTCAAAAGCCTCTGTGAGTCGATCTTTACTCTCCTGTCTTTGGATTTTAGTGTAATTAGCTGCTTCAGGGCTTCAGCTTACGACGAGCTTTTGATTGTTGGAACAATAAAAAAAAGTGGCTTAAATTTGAGAAAATGATGTTTAGTTCGGCGCCAAAGGGTCCAAATTTCAGATAGTCCTCGACTTACAATCACAACTGAGATCAGAGTTTCTGTCACTAAGCAAGGTATTATTGAGGAAAGCATGTCTTGTGAAGTGAACCCCTGCAGTTGATGAAGTAAATCACATATTACAATAATAACAGAGTTGGAAGGAATCTTGGAGGTCATCTAGTCCAACCCCCTGCTCAGGCAGGAAACCCTATACCGTTTCAGACAAATGGCCGTCCAGTTTCTTCTTAAAAACTTTCAGCGTTGGAGCATTCACCACTTCTGGAGGCAGGTTGTTCCACTGGTTAATTGTTCTCACTGTCAGGAAGTTTCTCCTTAGTTCTAGTTTGCTTCTCTCCTTGGTTAGTTCTTATCTCTTGAAACCAACCTATAATGGTTCCTTTCCGGATATCATTTTTGCCTCATTATATTAAAGGCATAATTAGATTATGGGGTCCCTTAAGTCGTGCAAACAATTCTTTCCTTTTCTTTACACACGAGGATTCCACTGTGAAAAGGCTTCATGAGGTTTAAACATGTTTTAATACCAGCTAGGATGTCCTCAAAGTTCCTAAGGTTGAGAAATGCCACCACAGAGTGAGCCCAGAACGAGGGTTTTAAAATGACGCTAAATGATGTTTTATGTGACGCACGTTATTTGTATGTACATGCATTCCTTATAAATGACATGTTGGGATCACCAAGGAAACCTCAAGACAAAACCTTAACACTTGCTGAAACATGTCTGTGGAGATTCTCAGTCATCCAGGTCAGGGTTGTCCCAAAGGTGCTTTTTCACGAAGCAACTGGACCTTCTCGTTTTTCTTCGAAGAAGGTTCGTTTCTCATTCAAGAAGCTTCTTCACCCCACCATCCAGTCAGAGCTGAAGAAGCTTCTTGGATGAGAAGCGAAACATCTTCAAAGAAAAACAAAGTCCAGTTGCTTCGTGAAAAAGCACCTTTGGGACATTTGCTGAAACAACTCCATAGGATTTCTATTCCGCCTCCTTAAAGCGATCGGAAATTAATTTTGCCATGCCGGAACTGTATTTAGACTGTGGAAATTGTAAGTGGGAGAGTTCAAGGGAAGGATTTTGCTCCTTTCTGCAATTCTCCAGGAGACTTCTGTGTCTTTAGTGTGTTTTCCAACCATACCATTCCTTCCCTTCTCAAAATGGCTGACCGATTTAACCATCCTCAGAGTCTGTCAACTCCACCGGATGCTTCTGTAAATCCCTCCTTTCGCACCGAACACGCCATATACTCTTCAGAGTTCTATTTATGGGCAAATAAAGATCTGTTTATTTGTGTCAACTAGGAGACGCGTGTCCATCTTTTGTACAGCTCTTGCAAAACAAGCACTGTCTTTGGTCTGAGAAGCTCGCGGTCTTTCTCAGAGGTAAGAGAAGAAGACCAAAAATGCAAGATCTCTATCAGGCCGCGCTGGAGGTTGGTACGAACAGCTTCTGAAAGGGCAATCTTGAAACCGATGAAATGATTTTAGATGACAAGGTGGGGACATGGATATTAAAATGTCTGAGTACTTCCTGGATAAGAGGGGGTGAGGCGATGAGCTTGGCTTCCTCAGAAGAAATGGAGGCAAGATGTCCGGCAAAATAAATTGGGTGTCAGGGTTAGATCCAAAATGAGTTTATTATGTGCTCCGTCTAAACAAGAAGTCTGAAGTCTGAAATGGTGCAGGTCTCTTGCTTGAGCAGGGGGCTGGACTAGAAGACCTCCAAAGTCCCTTCCAACTTATTATTATTATTATTATTATTATTATTATTATTATTATTATTATTATTATTATTGTTGTTGTTGTTGTTGTTGTTGTTGTTGTTGTTGTTGTTGTTGTTGTTGTTGTTGTTGGAAGGGACCTTGGAGGTCATCTAGTCAACCCCCTGCTCAGGCAGGAAACCCTATACCATTTCAGACATGTCCTCAGCCATTCTTAGATTAGTTGGGGATTGACTTTCCAAATCCTCTAGATTCAGTTCAGGGGTCTTCCCTTAAGCTAGCAGACCTTCATCATAATAATAATAATCATATTATTATTATTATTATTATTATTATTATTATTATTATTATTATTATTATTATTATTATTATTATTATTATTATTATTATAGTGTTGGGCTCTCCAAGAATCAAGAACAACACGTGGAGTTACTTGAGTACTTTCCTTTATTGTTCTTCACCTACAGACAGAATTTTTCCAGACTAAACCAGCTATTTGCAGAACTACAGATATACTCTGAGAATTGCTAGAGAGGAGCTATCTTAACTCTCTTCCTACCAACCAGACTATCTAAACTTTGCTGTCTCTTGGTCCTCTGGAATGCAGCCCCTCCCTGCTGGGAATCCAGGCTACATTCCACCTCATCTTGCTTTGTTTCTCGTCATCAGTTCGCTGCTGTCCTTGGAAAACCTTTACAACTCAACATCCTTACAACTCTTCCTGTTCTTGTGCGATGAACCCATTCTGCTTCTCGGGTTTTGCAGACTCAAAATAGCCTTGCTCTTAGTCACTCTAATTCTCTTATAATGAAATAATAATCTTTCCATTGTGAACCATTTCGGTAAGAGGGAAATACAGAAATATAACGCACGAAGAAATATAATCTGTTGATCTATAATCAATGATCACCTTTTGATGCCAGATACACATCACTTTTCAAAGGCTAGCTTGATACACAATTCAGATTTTCTTCCTTCCAAGCCAGTTTTAACAACAATTTTAACAGATGGTGTATATAACACCTACACATTTCTGGTGTATCCTGCTTCGTGGTGGCCTTCCTAAAACATCTGTCAATGCAGCAGAAGAATTCTCAGTCTTTACGAGGGCCATGATGGTGCTTTGCCCACTTTCTGTCCAGTTGGAGGTCCGAATGTTATTGACACGGGGGAATTGTAATTCCTTATTTTGGCACAATCATATTAGAATCTGACAAGCGTTAGAAGATATAAAACCACTCTCTCTGCCAAAATTGTCCAGTCCAGAATTTTATATTTTATGGACATCTGCGGCCACGGTGTGGACTGAGATGGTCCAGCTCTACTACGTATGCCCAGCTTTGAATCAGATGTGGGAATATTCTGGATAATTTAATTATTGAGAAATTTACCATTTTACTAAGTACTAAAGAAGGAATTTAAACTGGCCTGTTGAGAGGCTGAAGTTCTAGAAGCAAAGTTTGAACAAAAGCAGGAGACTCCATCCCAATCCAGAGAGACATAGGTTGTCCATCTTATCACAGTCTAATTCTACACTATGATTCCCCCCCTCTTTCCCATCTACAGTTAGTCCTCGGCTTACAACCAGAATTTTGGTCGCTAAGCAAGGCATTTATTGAGTGAGTCACGTCTGATTTTACATCTTTTTTTCCTATGGTTGTTAAATCACTACCTCAGTAATGTTGATTTGGAGTCTTAAGTGTTAAGTGAATTGGTTGTTAAGTGAATTATACGGTCACTAAATGAATCCAGCTTCCCCCATTGACTTTGTTTGTCGGAAGATGGCTGGGAAAGTCGGAAGTGGTGATCTCGTGACCCCAAGATGCTGCAACTGTCCTAAGTACATGCCAGTTGCCAAGCATCCAAATTTTGATCACCTGACCATGATCAAAATGGCCGTAAATGTGAGGACCAATTGTAAGTCTCTTTTTCCAATGCTGTTGTAACTTTGAATGGTTGCTAAATAATAATAATAATAATAATAATAATAATAATAATAATAATAATAATAATAATAATAATAATAATAATAAAAAATAAAAATAAATAAAGTTGGAAGGGACCTTGTAGGTCATCTAGTCCAGCCCCCTGCTCAGGCAGGAAACCCTATACCATTTCAGACAAATGGCTGTCCAATCTCTTCTTAAAAACTTCCAGTGTTGGAGCATTCAAAGCTTCTGGAGGCAGGTTGTTCCACTGGTTACCTATATTGTATCGTAATCACCCACAAGTCTTTGGTTTAAGTGGAGCAGAGAATTCTGCGGAGATAACAGGGGTTAACTAAAAATAAAACCAGAGAAATAGCAAGAGACAGTGCTACACACAGAAAGACATCTGCTGCTCTGTCGCTGTCCTTTGAAAAGTTTAAATAAACACAGCTCCAAACTCATCTCTTAGATGATTCATCTGGAAAGATGTTTTGGGCTAATCTATTTAAATGTCCCTGTTTATATGGGTAATGGGGTTTGTTTATCGTTAATGAAAGAAAAAGCACTTTTACATAATTTGGGGTCAGGTTTGGGAAGCTCCGGCATAAAACCTCGGTTTTTATGACTATAGGAAATGTGAACTTGTGAGAGATAAAATGGATGCTGAGTGTGTTGCTGGAAGAAAGGATGTCAGCTGAATAAAGAAATAAACTAAATATCAATCCAATTGTTTTTCCAATCCAGTTCTGTAAGTCGTTAACTCGCCTCTTCCAACATGGACTTGTAAGTAAAACAAGCCAGAAAATTTTGGGTTCAAATGCAGGCACTGCTACCAAGAATGTTAAAGATTAAGTGTCAGCTGAAACCAGAACTTTTCTGTTTGGGACTAATGGGAACTGTTTGGGATTAATGAAAAAACAACTAGAAACAGTCACGGAAGACTATTTTTACATACGATGACTGCTGAGAGACTACTAGATACATATAATGAATTGGTGATTTATGGGTTTGATCATCAGAAATGGGGGCTTATGGAAGAAGGAAATGGTGATGTAACCTTAGAGAGAGTAGGTAAAATGTAAAGCATAAAATGAATTTATAACCGCTGTCAAAAGGATTAGAAACCGCTTCTTTATAATATTTCTCTTTTCCCCCCTTTTTTCTCTTTTCTCTTTTTCTCTCTTTCCTTCTTTCTTTTCTTTTTCTCTTCTGTCTTTTTTAATTTACTGTCTTGCTCATTCACTATTCTTCACTTTTTCGTTTCTGTTCTAATATTTATATTGCTCTGTCTTGTTAAAAATTATGTATGTATGTATGTATGTATGTATGTATGTATGTATGTATGTATGTATGTATGTATGTATGGGTGGATGGATGGATGGATGGATGTATAAGCAAATCTTGTTATATTTCTGGGTGAGTTTTTTTGGTTTGGTTCCAGCATATTTGGAACAGCCTGAGTGCTTATCGTTAGGGTGTGTGTGTGTGTGTGTGTGTGTGTGTGTGTGTGTGTGTGAGAGAGAGAGAGAGAGAGAGAGAGAGAGAGAGAGAGAGAGAGAGAGAGGGAGGAGGGGAAGCTCTGAGTAATTTTTATGGAGTGAAGATGTTGGCTGGTGTATCTTGTTAAGCAATTTTGCTCTTGCAAACCAAAGAGCTGGACTGCAAAATCTTTCTGCAGCTGCTCCAGGAGTTCCAGTGGCATTTGGAAATTCCTGGCGAGTTGGAGGAAGGACAGCCAGCCTTTTTGTAGCTCTGGAGAGAGATGTCCTCTAGGTCAGCGATGGTTTTTGGGTGGAATTTCTGGGCAGCTCTGTCTGCTGTCCTCCTTGCAGCCCAGACATTCCCGCACACCAATATTAAAATAAGCCAAGGTGAGTTGTCATTTTTTTTATTCAACCAATTTGAACCAGGGCAACGCTAAGTGCTTTGAGGGGGAGGTTAATGCAATGAGACTATTTCAGCACCGGCTGCTAAAATGGATCAAAGCGAACCGTTTCCATTAGTTAAAGGGCGTTTTATTGGCATTTGGTTTCCAGTTTTTACTTACAGGTCACCAGTGGCTTTGCTAATATAGTCCCTCTTTTCTTGAGAAATGCCTGTTTTAACAGAAATACCGAATGTGCGATTGTTTTGAAATGTTGTCTCTCACCTTAAGGTTAAAAAATGCACGGATTGTTCAAACCAATTGTGGTAGCTATACACGACCACACTTTGTAGAAAAACTTAATCAATGGTAAAACAGATTAACTTTAGCATTTTGGGTGAATGAGCAGACATGTATTTAACCGATCTGGTTAAATGTATTTTGTGAAAACTTTGTGGTTATTTTTCATATTTTTTTTCTTGTGTAGTTGCTTGTATTCTCCTCTTGTTTGTTAAGCATTTTGTGTATTTTTTTAATTGCTTTGTTTGGGGAAGATTGCTTTGAAGCCTAAATAATAATTCTGGGACTTGTTTTGAAGTTTGTGGGTGCGTTGGGAGGCTGGATGTGTGTGTCAATCAACCCAAAGAATTGATGTGTTGAGAGAGAAAAACTGTCCCAACCGTAGACAAATTTGATATCTCCCAAAGATGTCCAGATGTTGCAGGTTTGAAAAGTTGCACCCATTTTTTTTATACCAATGTAATCATTCTAGAATTATATGGTATATCTAATCCAGACAGTATCTTTAATAAATGCGTTCCAACAAAAAATATTTAAACTGCATTTCCTAACACCGAGTGGATGCAGGAGTCAAACTTGACTCAAAGAGAGATGAACTTTTTATTGCTGTGACGCAGTGGTTGAAAAGTTCTGCATTGGAAGAAGTAGACCTGTTGTTGTAAAACTATTTGTAGGCATCTGGGGTCTTGCACCTTTTAACCTAGCTGACATCTGTAGGTGAAGTTAAAGGAGGTAAATTTGAGCACCGCTGGGGTAAAACCTTAGCCGAACCGGATCCTGTCCAGCAAGACATAATGGGATTTTGGTGCGGCAAATTGTGTGAACTCAGCCAACTGGAGTTGATTTAATGAACAATGACTTATTGTGATGTGTGCATTCAGCCACTCAAGATGTTGGGGTAAGGATTAGCAGACAGAGTCTGGGTGCCGAACAGAGGGGAAAAACTGAAGAAGAGGTGAGGTTTAGGGCATGCCAGCTAGTGAATGTCTTAACTGATGTACTCCATTTTAATAATAACCTTTTATAATCAATTTTAGTACTTGTTATTGCTCCTCAGACAGCAGAGCTATGTTTTAATTTTTTTCTTCTTCTAAGGAAGGCTGGAAAAATGCCCCCTTTCCCCAACACTTACTATTTTAACTGTGTGCTTTGCATCGACAGCATCTCTGTATTTGCACCTTGGTGGAGCAATTCAATGGGCTTGACTTACGAACTGTGTCTGGATGGCTGGCTCCTTTTTATTCCTTCCAACCCAATGGAATCTTGGAAATATATTGTCTAAAGAGGCTCAGGGTCTGTCCGTCTGTATAACTGAAAACAAGACGATAATTCCCTGTAAACAGAAGAGAATTAGACTAAATTTAGAATGCGTAGCAAAGCCAGGGAAAGAAAGGTGGAGATTAAAGTTGAGTTGGATCTTCCTGGAGTCTGCAGAGAAGAAAAATCCTGAATAATTTCCCAATGCATCCCCATGGATGATGCCACTGCTGCTGATTCCTCCATTTTAAGCACCTATCCTTTATGGTCCCTTCCCTTCCCTTTGTTCTCTCTTCTCTTCTCTCCTCTTCTCTTCTCTCCTCTTCTCTTTGTTCTCCTCTTCTCTTCTCTTCCCTTCCTTTCTCTTCCCTTCCCTTCCCTTCATTCTCTTCTCTCCTCTTCTCTTCTCTTTGTTCTCCTCTTCTCTTCTCTTCCCTTCCCTTCCCTTTATTCTCTTCTCTTCTCTTCTCTTCTCTTCGTTCTCTTCTCTTCTCTTCGTTCTCCTCTCCTCTCCTCTTCTCTTCCCTTCTCTTCTCTTCCCTTCCCTTCCCTTCATTCTCTTCTCTTCTCTTCTCTTCCCTTCCCTTCATTCTCTTCTCTTCTCTTTGTTCTCCTGTCCTCTCCTCTCCTCTCCTCTCCTCTCCTCTCCTCTTCTCTTCCCTTCCCTTCCCTTCCCTTCCCTTCCCTTCCCTTCCCTTCCCTTCCCTCTCTTCTCTTCTCTTCTCTTCTCTTCTCTTCTCTTCCCTTCCCTTCCCTTCCCTTCCCTTCCCTTCATTGTCTTCCCTTCCCTTCCCTTCCCTTCCCTTCCCTTCCCTTCCCTTCCCTTTTCTCCACTCCCCCAAACCTTTTTCAGGGTCCAACAGCAAATTGGTCCAAGGGCAGAGACGTCCTTTTTGATTATCATCCTCTCTGAGTTCAAAGCTTGATGGATTCTTTACTAAAGACCATTGACAATTTAACCGGACAGGTGCTAATTAGAAATTGGCCCGCTTGCTTCTTCTTCTTCTTCTTCTCCTCTTCTGGCACATTCAGCCCTGAAATTCCTGGGGGCACTTTTTGCACACCAGAGTTAATCGAATTAGCCTTACCTACTGGGGTAACTGGCGCTTGAAAATCAGAAGGCCAACCAGTTCAGATGGCTCCCCTTTGCATTCCAGAGGACTTTTTTGTTTTCTGGAAAGGAATGCAGAGATGCCGAGGGGTGGACGAGGTGGGACGGCTTAGAAACCTCTGATTAGGATTTGAATTTAGCGCTATGCTGCTTGATGTTTTTTTTTAAAAAAAGGAAGGCATTGTAACCTGACTGAATCCTCTCCGCCGATTTAGGATTCTCAGTGCTGGTCAGCAGCAAATGGCTTTCCCAGCCTGGTCTGGAGAACGTGGAAGTTCTTCCTTCCAAGTTGGTTTCAACCATTAAGCTATGGCCATTTTAAAACAAATGGGCCGGGCCTGGAAAATGTTGGTGCATTTATCTTACATGGGGAATCTTTATCTAATCTGTGGAGTGGGGAAATTTTAACTTTGGTATCCTCCTATCTCCTCTTTTAAGCCCCGCTCTGTAATTCGGAGGTATAGACTCAACAGCTGGCCGTTGTCCTATCTGACAACAGGGAGAGATAGAACGGCTTCTTGACCCTTGTAATCTCCACTCTGATAGCCAGTGTATATACATAACATGCACGTATGTATATAAATCTATAGGGAAAAAAGAGTGTGTTAAACTACTGCTAATTATGGCATTATTATGGACTTTGAAAGAGAGGGGGGGGGAGAAGGGGAAGGCTTGGGAAACGATCATAAAACCAAACCCCCAGATTTTGATCCAATTGTTCAAAAGACCCTTTTTTTTCTTTTTCTGTTCTGGTCTCTTGTAACAACTGATCTCAACAGTCTGTAGTGATCAATTCATTAAAGCAGGGGGTCTTCAAACTTGGCCCTTTTGTGACTTGTGGACTTCGACTCCCAGAATTCCTCAGCCAGGCACGCGTGCCTGGCTGAGGAATTCTGGGAGTCGAAGTCCACAAGTCATAAAAGGGCCAAGTTTGAAGACCCCTGCCTTAAAGCCATTCTAAATGATAATTCACTAGGGCATACAAGAATTGTTTTGCCCACCTGCTATGTAAGAAAAGTCTATTATCTGTGTGTTGTGTGGCTGGGGGAGTATGTAAACACACACACACACACACATATACACATAGTATAATCCTAAAAACAATCTTAAAAACAGATGAATGATTCCTGGGTGCATTCATGGTAAAAATAAACGAAAGTGAACACCAGGAAGAGTTAAAAACTATAAAGGTTTTAATAAATTAGGATCCAAGCTTTCACCGGCCACTGCCGGCATCTTCAGGGATCTATGTAGGTCAATGGGAGCACACTTTTATGATCAAACCACCTTTGCACCCGGCCCATGGACGCTACCATGGGACTCCGTCAGCCAATCGCCGTTCTGACTCTGTTTTTGTTTTGTTAACTAATTTGCCTGCGCTGTTCCTATCCTTGCACAACTTGCCACCGCTATTCCCCTCGCCCTCATAATCTATATACATTGGTACCTCAGTGCTTCTCATGAATGGGTTCAAACTCACAATATTCTGCCAATGCAGCTTTGCAATAAAATAGCACCAGCTCATCAGGTTGCGATGCCTGTCTGTTTTACTCTGCGAGGCTGATAAGAGGTAGGACAAGCCCAAAGCATATGAGTTAATATTGGCATCTCTCAATATCGTTAGGTAGGGTTGCCCGAATAAATCTAAAACCTCAGGCAGGACGGGAGAAAGAAATATACAAATATGTACCATGTAAAACTGTCCCATCTTTTCTCCCAAGCGTTGCCAGAGTCGATCCTGTCTTATTCTTGTCCTCTCTTCTGGACCGAATATGAAGGCTACTGTTACCGGTATTTTCCCATTAATAAAACTTGGGCAGAAGCAGATCTGTACTGCGCAGAGTTTTCCATCGGCTTAAAATCAGCCAAATTAGCATCTATTCACAGGTAAGAACCATCGAGTGGGCTACTCTCTGTGTTTCCTGCTCTCTGTTGTTATGGCGGATTATAGGTAAGTCCTCGACTTACCTGCAGTTCCTTAAGTAATTGCTTGAAATGACAACGGTACAGGAAAAGGTGATTGATGACCATGTTTCACACTTACGACCATTGTGGTGTCCCCATGGTCGCAGGACGAAAGGTAGATGCTTGGCCACTGAGTCATATTTATGACAGTTGCAGAGTCCCGGGGTCCCACGATCCCCTTTTATGACCTTCTGGCAAGCAAGGTCAATGGAGGAAGCCAGATTTTCTTAACAATTGTCAGAGCATGCCCAGTCTTATTGCTCTGAGGTTTACCCAGGAGTAAATGCAGTACACAGTGGTTTGTGTTTAAATGTGGTTTATATTACACTATATCTACGAATATACACTAGAAATAAAACACACACACGTGGTGAAACAGCAAACTCCAATACAGAGCAATTACAGCAGTCAAAGGACAAGAGAGAGAAAAACTCCAGCAAAAAACCCCTCCCTTTTATACTCAGACTCTTAAAGGGGTACACACACCTGCTGAGTTATTCTTATTATTGCATCGTCCACATTACATTATATCTTTACATAAGCTGTTTAGCTATTTAATTATCATCCTGACAACTTAACAACTGTCTCACTTAGCAACAGAAATTTTGTGCACCACTGTGGTTATAAGTCAAGGACTACCTGTAGTTTCTTCATTTGGATCCTAGCATATCCAGCATTTATGATGGCACTGAGTAGCATTATAGTGTCCTGGGAGGACAAGCCCAAATCATATGATGTGGATTTTCCATGTAGGAGCAAAAAGGACACAATCTGGAACCCCCCTGCCTAATCTTTAAATTATGTCCTTAGAGTGGGTTTTTTTCCCCTCGACGGTTGTTAAACTAATGGTTGTAAGTCTCTAGGAGTAGCAGTATTATATTTGTGGCTACAACTTACCGAGTGACAGTATCTTCACTAAATTCACTTTTTGATGTTTATATACGGACCAGCATCTTTAAGTATCCTTTTGATCCTTAAAAACTAGAAGACAGAACTGGTTAAATAATAATTGTTTTTTTAAAAAATTATCGGTGAATTTGCAGTTAATGTTACCTATCAATATAATTTATCAACTATAATAAATTTTCATGTAATATATCTGTCTGGCAGCTGGGAAGAGAACGTCTTCGTCTACGACCTTGTAAACAGCAGAGTGCCTGGTATACCCACGGATATCTGGATGGGATTGAACGATCTTAGACAGGTGAGAAAACTCCCATTTTTGTGGGCTCCTTGGGGCTCTCTGAGCTTGGTGGCCTTCTTCAGACGTTTCATGACAAACTAGGTGACATCACCAGTGCTGGAAGGGAGTAAGGTTTACTCTCTGTTTATATACTCTGTTTATATACAAGGAACCACTATATACTAGGGCAGAGGTCCCCAACCTTTTGGGCACCAGGGACCCGTTCCGTGGAGAGAGGTTTTTCCACAGACTGGAAAGTGCGTGGTTTTGTGTGCTGCCTGCATCTTGCGGATGGGGCTTTGCTTGTTTGTGTGGACCGGTTGCTGGCATGCCGCGGCCCGGTACTGGTCCACCGACGGGGAGTTGGAGACCCCTGTACTAGTGGCTTGCCCTGCCAATGTTAGTGCAGTGTTTCTCAACTTTGGAAAGTTTAAAATGTGTGGACTTCAACTCCCAGAATTCCCCAGCCAGCAAGTCCACATATCTTCTAGCTGGCAAGGTTGAGAAAGACAGTTTTGGCGAGCATAACAGTAGCTTGAATGTTTGCAATCTCTGCTCGCATTAATGTCTGAAGATCGTGATTAAATACAGACTCCAGAAGCATCGCAGTGGGAACTGGAATCTAATTTGTATGTCTGTAATTTCCTCCCACGCTGAATCTTGAAACAATGGTTCAGTTGCAGGCTGGATATTACCATCAAGAAAACAGACCTTCCTCCATCTCTTGGAAGCAATCATTTGAGATGCTGGGCATCGTAGCACCGTCTCCCATCATAGATCGTGGCCTTGTCTTTCTCCTAAAACTTTTTTTTTATTCCAGCCAATTTATTTTGCCCTTGGTCTCTCATTCAGACAACCGTTGTTTCATAGCTTGATGGGGGGGATTGGAAGTGGAGATTTACACTTGTGTTTGTGTTTCTGCCTCTAAGTCAGTGTGTCTCAATCTTGGGGGCTTTAAGAGATATGTGGACTTCAACTCCCAGAATTCTCCAGCCAGCATGCTTTAAGACAGGGGTAGGCAACCTTGGCTCTTTTATGACTCGTGGACTTCAACTCCCAGAATTCCTGAGCCAGCATGGGGGAACTATGGCTCCCTTTATGACTCTTGGACTTCAACTCCCAGAATTCCTGAGCCAGCATGGCTCAGCTTGGAAACCTCTCCCTTTCCCCTCAGCATGGCGGGCTCAGGAATTCTGGGAGTTGGAAGTCCATGAGTCATAAAAGAGCCAAGGTTGCCTACCCCTGCTTTAAGAGATAAGTGGACTTCAACTCCCAGAATTCCTCAGCCAAGTTGCCAAGGCTGAGAAACACTGCTTTAAATGTCCTTGCTTTTCCGCTTTGGAGGATTTGGAGTTGCGTAGAGTCCTCAGGCTACCAGTTGCCCACCTCTGCCCCAAGATTAAAGCTCCAGTGATCTCTTTGGCAGGAGAGCAACTTTGAATGGACAGATGGCTCTCCATATGACTATAACTACTGGGATGGCAATCAGCCAGATGACGGGATCCACGCTATACCGGAGGAGGAAGACTGTGTGCAGATCTGGTACAGATACAGCAGTGGTAGGTGGCATCTGAGTCTCCAATATGCCCTCTTCCCAACCCAAACCCTTCTGCTATCAGCAACATCTGGACAGAAGCAGTTAGGATTCCTCTTTTGTGTGGGAGCATGGAGAGTCCAGGACTGTGGTCTTCAAGGTTTAGAAAGAGAGCGGAGAAGAAGGGAAGTGGGAAGGGTCTATATCCATATTCCTCAATCTGGGCAAATTTCAGCTGTATGGTCTTCAGTTCCTTAGCCAACGTGGATGTGCCTAAGAATTCCGGGAGCAGAAGCTCACACATCTGGAAGATGTCCAGTTTGGAAAAGACTAGGCTAGTTTCCCATCCCATCCAGCCTCAAGGTCATTCTTGCCAGCATCAGCAGATCAGATGTCCTGGCATATTAAGGCCCTTTCCCTGTCCTTGTTCCCCAAGTTGTGGGTGCCCCATTACTGGAGGTTTTTAAGAGAAAAATTGGACAACCATTTGTCTAATGGGGTCTCCTGCTTGAGCAGGGGGGTTGGACTAGAAGACCTCCAAGGACCCTTCCAATTGAGAAAGTTAGAGAAGCAAAAGAGAAAGCACACATATAAGGAATTCTCCACTGAATAATATCCAAGCATCCTTAGGTATGTTAGGGTGGCACCGTGGGCAGAACCGGTAGCTAATGTTTTGTTGCCCAGGCCCAGAATGGACTTCCGGAAGCGGCATCCACACAGAGAACCGGTTGTTCGCATATTTGAATCCCACCACTGGCACCGACCCTTATAGTCAGCAATGGCTAGCAGAGTAAAATCCACAGGGACTCCTTTCTCCTTATGTATGTTAGTCCTAGGATCTGGACTTTGAATCCTGGGTTGCATTCTCCGCCTCCCACCTGTCTGAGTCAACAGGCACATGATTCCTTTTCTCCTGGCCTCGCAAGGGTCCACCATCTGTCCATTGTTTACAAAACAGCTTTCTCTGGCATGAGAATTGGAGATTCCTGGCTCGCCAGCTTCACCCTTTATGTTGAGGCTGGTTCTCTGGCTTTATGCTGTTTGTGGAAATGTTGTGGTCCAGAAGCCCGACTTTCCAGAGGTCTAAATTGGGGATACAAGTGCCCTAGCTGGGGTGCTAATGCACAGTGGTCTTTTCTACATACCCGCCTCTCCTCGGGTCAATGCTTCTGTGCATCCAATTGAATTGAATTGCATACTTTATTTGGCCAAGTGTGATTAGACATGCAAGGAATTTATCTCCGGTACAAAAGCACTCAGGGGTACATGCAAAGCAGCATACTAATAATGCCAATAAAAGGGGGAGTAAAGAAGATAAGAAAGATAAATAATAATAATACAGAATAGAATAGAATAGAATAGAATAGAATAGAATATTTATATGGAATGGAATGGAATAGAATATTGAAGATTAGACTATACTAACTGGAATAGAATAGAATAGAATAGAATAGAATAGAATAGAATAGAATAGAATATATGGAATGGAATGGAATAGAGTATTGAAGATTAGACTATACTAACTGGAATAGAATAGAATAGAATAGAATAGAATAGAATAGAATAGAATAGAATAGAATAGAATAGAATAGAATAGAATAGAAAACTGCAAGTGTGTTTTTTTTATAGCATCGCTGCTTGATATAGTGTGCCTTCACACACAACTTCAATTTGTAAATAAGCTGCTGCTGGCTGATGGAGGTTTAAGCTAAGCTTTTCACCAACAATGCTTCAAGTTCGTTCGTTCTTCTTTAAAAATATTACAGATGAAAGACAAAAAAACAAATAAATAAAAATAGAAAAATACCTGCTCAAAGAAGAAGCCATTAAAAAAAAAGAAACAAAAATGTATTTTTGCAGATCTGCAGAGATCAATAAATCCTTCGCTGTGGTCACCCACGACTGATGGATGATCCATTATTGTGCATGATCTATTAATCAATACTGCAGCCCCCTAAATGGTTGGAGCCGTGTGTTTGTAGAAGCCTATCTGATTCTCCTCTCCTCCTTTTTTTTTGGTCTTTTTATAGCTTTACGGTCCTGGAACGACAATAGCTGCAGCCGAGAATTTCCATTTGTGTGTAAGATCCCATCCTTGGCAGCTGATTAACTGACTTCCTGACCCTGGAGAAATGAAACATCTGAGTTTCGAACGATCAGCTGGAGTGAAATGAGTGTTTGTTTTTGGTGTTGTATTGTGTTGTTTGTGTTCTTCTCCTAGGCATCCTTTACCAAATGCTGCACTGACTCATGTCCTCTGAGAAATCATTCTTGGATCAGGGCTAAAAAATATTGGAGCAGGAAGATTGACATGTGTTAGTTTACGGTAGCCTCAAAATCAGGAAGAATCCGATAGCTCCTTTTCTGACTAACCCGGTTTATTAAAATGCACCAGCTTTTGCCAGTTTCTGCCTTTGGTGAGCTTAGGGGTCTTCTCAAAAGGCTTTTGTGAGCTTGTGCCTTTTAATAAAGGGGGTTAGTCTGCAAAGATGCAACTAAATTACTGAGGAAAGATAGTAGGAGCTTCTGGGTCTATATAGGGTGGGTGGGTGGGAGGCAAAATGTAACTCCACCAATTGGAAAAATAGGAATGTCTTTCCTTTTTTTTTTTTTTAGTGTTCACCAGCTCAGCTTTAGAGTGATGGAGGGATTGCATGAAGGGAGTTTGCCTTCCAAAAATACCCCTGCAAACTTGGGTTTGGGCCAACTTTGAAGGGCGTTGTTGATATTCTCATTTCCACGAGGGCAGAAATGTGTTAGAAATTGTTGAAAATATTCACAGCTCGGGTTATAGGTTTTGGCAGCCGCTTGCCGTTTAGCTTCCAGATGTTTTGTTAGCCTGGCACTCTACCCATGGAGCCACCAACAAAGACACTGATTTCGAACCAGCGTATGGATCATCTGGACCACCAATCAGCAACAGAACCGACCCTCCTCCTCACCAGTTGAATTTCGCGCCCCACAAACAAACCAGTCACGTGACTGCTGAAAGAAAAGTCTTCATCGTGGTTCAGTCCAAGCTGGGAATAAACATGGCGACTGCTTTAGAAAGAAGGTTGCAGTTTATTGAAGAGGAGGGCCAGACTGAAAGATGGCTCTGGCAGAAAAGAGGGAGAGAGCACATGTAGGGAGTGGGTTTTTATACCTTCTGGAGCCTTTTGTTTGGAGTTGTTCCCTGTTCCTGTCTTAGAGTTTGGGTGGGGTATGTAGATTTTAGGTCTTTGTCTTCTTAATCTTCTAGCTGGGGGCCTCCAGCCTTCCTGGATTTACATCTGCATTTCTACAGAGCTGGTTTCTGCTTGGGGGAGGGAGACTTGGGGCTATTAAGAAAACTGGGCATGCTTTTCTGCCTCTTTAAGATCCTTCTCGGGGGGGGGGGCTGACTTCCCACATGACCAACCGACTGCAAGACCACACAGGACTTATAGAAGCGGAGAAGAAACCATATGAGATGCTTCACCCCAAACCCCACCTGGTATTGAAACATCTGGAAGCTAAACGGCAAGCTTGGAGAACAGAAATACGTTGAAGATACGACTGCGATGGAACCAACTCAGTAGTAAAGTTGAACCAAATGCAGGTAGCCCTTGGCCTACCATGAAAATGAGCCCAAAATTTATGTTGCTAAGTGAGGTGGTTGATAAGCGAGCTATGCCCCCTTTAACTATCTTTCCTGCCACGGTTATTAAATGAATCACTGCAGTTAGTAACCCGGTTGTTAAGTGAATCTGGCTTCCCCCCTATTGACTTTGCTTGTCAGAAGGTTGCAAAAGGGGATCACGTGATCCCTGGGAACACTGCAACCGTCATAAACATGAGCCAGTTGCCAAGAAGCTGAATTTGGATCACGTGACCATGGGGAGGCTGCAACCTAAGTGTGACAAACAGCCATGGGGCACTTTTTTCAGTGCCCTTGTAACTTCTAACAATCACGCAATGAATTAGTTGTAAGCCGAGGACCACCTGGGATACAGTAAAGTTGAAAGCTTCAGAAACTGGGGATCAAGAGTGTTTTATTTTGGAGGGGTTTTTTTTCTTTTTGGTGAGCACTGCAGTTCCAGCAATGAGAGCTGATTTTATCTCCTCCTGTTTTTCCTTCCTTCCTTCCTCACCCTTCGTCTGACCTTTACCCTCCCCTCCCCTCCTTTTCTGCCTCCCCCCCAAAAAAACCCTGGCTGCTAGATCAGCATGGAGCCGATCCCCTGCCAGGAGAGCATTCAAAAGTAGACTGTCACTTGAGATTAAGTAGAGATCACAGGATCCATCAGAAAGAATTTCAAAGGCTTTGCCCCCCCCCATCCTTCCCTGTGTAATGTTAAGAGAGATCCCCCTCCCCCCAGAAAAACGAATATTCAGGCTACAGGGCCTTAATCTGTGATCTAGCTAACCAATTAAACAGGTTTGGCTCCGCCAAAGAAGCTGTCTTGATTTTTTTTTTAATTAAAAAAAAAGCAATTTTCAATGCAGCTATTTTTATCAAACGACAGGTGGCAAGCCCTGTTTTAAGAGGCATTTTCCGCCCCTCTTGGAAGGGGCATCTGTGTGTTGTCAGCAAGCAAAGGAAGTGTGTCCTTCTAGAATTCTTGTGGGTTTATCACGGGCAGATTAGTCATTCTGTTAAAATCCACATGATTGACGAGATTTCCTCAACTGAGTAATTACCCTGAAATTGGAGTAACATGGGAGTACTGTTTACATCCTTCAGGCCTGGTAGGGGGGCTGACTTTACACCAGGGGTGTTCAACCTTGACAATTTTAAGACTTGTGGACTTCAGGGCAGAATTCCCTAATCAGTCATGTTGAAGTCCACTTAAAAGTTGTCAAGGCTGGACACCTCTCATTTACACATTCCCTGGCCCAATTTGTCTTATTTTGTCTCTGGAGATTTACACAGCTTCAGGAAGAACTAAATAGGTGAAGAGAGCTGACAGGATATCAGAACCATGGAGAGCTCCCGTTGGAACACTAGAATTGGGGTATTCAGCTAACCCAAAAAAACATTGACAATGGGATAACAAAGTAACACAGGGCTCTTCAGACTTGGCCCTTTTATGACTTGTGGACTTCAACTCCCAGAATTCCTCTCCTGGTGACTGGCCCAAAGTCACCCACCCAACTTTCTCTCCCAATGTGGGACAGTTTCCTGGTGATTGGCTCCAAGTTACCCAGCTTTCATGCCTAACTTGAACTCAGAATCTCCCACTTTCTAACCTGGTGCCTTAATTACTAGACCAGTGGTGGCATACCTATGGCACGGGTGCCAGAGGCGGCACTCAGAGCCCTCTCTGTGGGCACACGCGCCGTCGCCCCAGTCCTAGGCCTTCAGCTGGGTTTTATAAAACCTTTTCACTTTAGGCCTCCACCACAGTGTGCAAAAAAAAAAAAAGGTTCAATCAATCAGTCAATTTCACCTTCTCGCAGGAAAAAAAAGATCTTGCAAAGTTGGAATTGATTGATTGAACTTTTTAGTCCCACCCAGTCTGCCGTTACCACCGCAGCCACACCCACCCAATGGGCCACGCCCACCCAGCACCCGACGATGCATAAGTGGGTTTTGGGTTGCAATTTGGGCACTCAGTCTCTAAAAGGTTTGCCATCACTGTACTAGACTATACTGGCTCTAAGGTCTGTTTTTGGGCCTGTGACTGGGAGGGAGGGGCTTAAAATGCAGCAGCTGACCATGTTCTGAGCTGCTGTCCATCTGCTTCTTCCATAGAGATGAATGGGCATCTGGGGGAGATTTTTTTTTTTTTATTCATCTGCCCATGGATGAGCTCAGTCTTTCTCTGCTTGGCTTCTCCCCCCCCCACTGCATAATTTGGTCCCGCGGAGTTGTGTTTTCAGAGAGACATCTCGCTGATGGACCGTTGGACTGACCTTTTCCGTTAATCCCTTCCAACTTTCTGTTGGTGGGTTGGAAATAATACAAAAGGACGAAGCTTGCCAAAGTTTCTGGAAACCTTGGGGAGCGTTCTGAAGCTTTTGTTTTCAGAGAGCATTAAACAGTTTGCTTCCACTTGACCGGTTTGTTTGAGCTGATATTTCCTAAGGAGACAAAAATGTACATAATTGCCTTGCGGTCTAGAGCTGGCACTTTGCTCTTGGCTAAAGTCCTGGAGCCTTTGAAGTCAAGTGATCAGGGTTTTGGTCCAAGGCAAGTAAGCAATCGAGGTGTCTGCAAATGAAGGTTGTGAACTGGCGACACAGGAAGGAAGCCTTGTTGGCTAAAAAGTCACATCTGGGTAATAATCCAGGCAGGTGGGCACTGAAAGGTTGGATTCTCACATCACATTAAGCCATGTTGGTTTTTTTTTTTTTTAAATCCATAACATGTTGAGCTACAGATTGTTAGACCAAAAAAAAAAAAATCTGAATGGTGGATGTGACAGTACCTCCAATACCTGGAGACAGTAGAAAAGAAGAGAAAGAACTGGAGAAGAATCACAAAATACAAAGACTTGCAAGTAGAAGGAGAACAATCATGTCAAAATAAAGCAAAGATAGTACCAATAGCAATAGGCACCTTGGGTGCAATCCCAAAACATCTGGAGGACCCCTTGAACACAATTGGCATTGACAAAACCACCACCAGTCAATTGCAGAAGGCAGCTTTACTCGGAATGGCTTACATCCTGAGATAATCTATATAAATAAAAATGTAAATGTTCGTTTGTTCAAAATCTTAAATCTCCGAACGTTCTTCACCGATTGCTTTGAAATTTTGACACAATGTTGCATTCGAATACGTGCGTGTTTTTATATACCTACTATTATATAGATGTCACACCTGTGACAGGTAAAAACATGCTTTTTTTGAAAAACAGCACCATCTGTTGGACGTAAAAGCAACACACGCTAACCAGACTGAGCCAAAGCAACACATGGCCGGGTACAGCTAGTATAATAATAAAGTTGGAAGGAACCTTGGAGGTCATCTAAGACCATCAAACATCTACATTTGCTTATTCCAGATCATTGGGAGGGTCTCAATAGGTGGATAAAAATGTCAAATCCAGTCTGAACATCTGGCCAATGGTGTGACCAACTATAATAGCTTATTAAACAATGCCACCCAACTCTCCACCACTCTGAGCATTAATAAATAAGTAA